GGAAACCAAAAAAATAAAGGAATGGGATAGCTATAATTGGATAAATTCGGCATATGAAAACACCAAAATCAATGATTTTTTTTCAGTGGCTGTGTGACCTTGTGTCTGACACATTCATATGCAAATGACTAATCTGTGAAACAAACAGGGGCGGAGACAAACCACTCAAATGTTTGGAAACACTCATTGTGTGTCAGATAGCTACTGATAACACATCCTAACATTGCTTTGTCTTGAGTTTATCTTTGAAACTTATAGGCACACAGATTAAACCTGTGTTGTTGATTTTAGAAAACACTACTGAGGCTGCCTTGCTTCCCTTCAGAAAATCTATATTTTAACCAACTTACATGACATTCTATGTTATATTGACTTTATCATATGAAAGTTTATGGTGCATTTCATCAATTAATAAATAAATGTGAAAATCGTAGTTTTCAACACAAATAATAGTCTCGCTACCTTAACAATAGTGGAATGATGGCCATTTTAAGGCCGAAAATGCATCAAAATCACGTATTTTCACAATTCCAGAACTGGATCTCAGTCATGCATGGATGGATTTTGTTCAGATTTAGCACAATGTGTTGTACATATGCAGGTGCATTTCGGTCATGATCTGCTTTGAATGTACATGTATATGTCACTCAAATATGAACGGAACGGGGACGTGTCATTGACAATGACTTGTCTCTGATTGGTCTGATTGTTGGTTGTCAAGGTCAGTTAGCCAATCAGGCACAAGTTTGTGAGTAGCTTCCCATTGACTCTAACAATGTGAATTCAGTTTAATCAAGAGGAACAAATTCAAGTGTTATCACTTGTATTGGACAAACCTCCAGAGGATGCTCTTCATGACTCCTTGCTATTCAGATGCCCTTGAACCCATGGAGCTAATATATAATACTGTAGAATACTTTATTTTCGCTTGGAATTTATTTTCGCTGAAGGGATGATTCCGTGAAAATAAAATCCAGCGAATATACATTTTTTCCTATATTTTACATTAATCTCAACAAAAATCAGTGAAAATAAATTCCAAGCAAAGCGCCTAAAATACCTTTTCAGCGAAAATTAATTCCAGCGAAAATAAAGTATTCCACAGTAATCATCTTTATTGTTATCATATCCTCTATGGGACTTTGATTATAAAATACAATAAAGGTATAGCCATGAAGAAATAAAAAAATTAAATGAGATTAAAAGAGTATAAAACAAAGTTATTAATAAAATACAATAAATTAAAGTATTTTTTTTATTTTGAGGCAGCTGGTAGTACTTTTTTCAAGTTGTTTCTCGGATTTTAAAACAATCATGTATGTACTTAGCAATTTGAGGAGCTATTTTTTTACTACCATTGTTTAGTACTGCTATTATATGAATGATGTATAAACAATATCTGTCATACCCCACTGTAATATAAGTAGAAGCTACACTGACTGGCCATGCTTCTTTTTTCAACATTTTTGAAAAAAAAACGAAAGAAAAATAAAGTTTTCATACAAAATGTATACCCCCCCCCAAAAAAAAATAAATAAAATCGCCTACTCACAAATTTAAAATTTCAAGTTCCCTACGATAAGGAGAATTTCAAATTAGTAGAAACCAGGTCTAAGTTTGTTATCCAAGATCATTGATTCTAATCAATTATTAAATGAACAGAAATTAAATAATTAATTTGTGGTCAACAACGATCATGAGGCTCACAATACTGTCTTTGCTGCGAAAATAAATGCAATTCAATAACGAGTTTCGAAAATAAATAAGGAAACCAGATACAAGACTCAACTTCAAGATAAATACATTATGCTAATTAATTTGCCAGGCGCGCCGAATACGTAATTAAGGAGGCCATTTTTTGGTTATAACCTATTCTCTGATTGGCTACATGTTGTAGATTAGTATCCCGCCAAATTGCGCGTTTTTCAATTTTTATAACTATTTATGTTTATGAAAAAACTGCGGTTTTACTTCTTATTGTGAAATTGATGATATTACAGACAAATTTAGATTTGCAATGATTGGTAACATTCGGAATAATGACCAGTTTAATGAATCTGACCCAAGCTTCATAAGCCAATCACAGCGTCTCTTACAAAGGCTTGCCTACTCGTACCCGATTAGCTCAAACAACGCTGTTCCGGAGGTGAGCAATTTTCTCTGTTTTTTCCCCGATATATTTTCTCCGCTTATTTTAGACCCCGCAAATGTTTGCGAACTGATATTGATGCCATTTGAACCTTTGTCTTATACTAAATATTATAAAACTTCTTTTCATTCGATTATCGGCGAAATGGGGGTGAAAATATGCACCACATCACTGGGGGTAGGACCCACCCGAAAATTTATGCTTTGTTCTGAACTGTTCCACATTTTCGGGGGATTTCGAGCATTTGTCCTGAATGGCATCTTCCAAGCCTGTCAAATATAAAACTTAGGTGCACTAATCGAAGGTTTCAATTATGTTGGGTGATTTTTTCTGAGCCATTTTGTGATAAATTTGATATTATTTTGATACGCCATTTTTACTCTTGGGGGAGGCAAGTAACGTATTTGCATAATACACCACGTCGACATATTTCGCCAATTTCGAAGCTATTTTCCAATACCTCAAGAAGATCTTGACCTCAGATCTTGTTTTTTGTAAAGTTCAAATATTATTTGTTTGTCTGTTAGTATTATTTAGTGAGAAATGGTCGGTATTTAGCTGTTTTTAGCAAGTCCCTGCAAACGTGGTCAACATGGAGGCCATATTGGAGGTGGTTTCCAAGATGGTACAGTCCTCTTCTTTTTTGTACGAAACCACTTTGTCCGTAGGGGACACAACGCGACGGGCATACCGAACTCCGAAATGTATTATGTCCATGAGTATTTTAACTACAGGCTGTCTAACACTGAGGAGCTCCGCAATTGCTTCGAATTGTGCGATATTTTACATGTATTTTAACGTCCTTTCATGGTTTCCAATGCCAATTTCCCGCCGCCATTTTGGCGTTGTTGTGCCCCACGCATTCTATGGGCAAGTTTCGATAGTGGTACGTCCGATGTTTTGAAACTTGACGAAGGCGTGTCACTCGATTCTAGCGATTGAGTGGAGATGAGTTGGTAATGTCGATAGAGGAAAATGTTTCATTGGTCAAAGGATACTCGGCCCTTCCGAGTACTTGCAAGAATATTTGTATTTTTTTCAAAGTCGCACGATCGTCGACAACATCTAGTTTACGGCAAGTCTCGGAAGTGTTGGGTCACTATCGCTGAACAATTTTGCACACTTAAAATATTACTAGCATTCTACGGTGACAGAATAAACGGTGGTATTCAAATTATAGGTTATCTGCTTTAATCAAAACCAAAGTGGTTGACGATTTAGTGAGAGAGTTAGGTTACTGTGAAATACTTTATTTTGGCTGAAGGAATGATTCAGTGAAAATAAAATCCAGCGAATATACCTTTTTTCCTATATTTTACATTCAACTAACCAAAAATCAGTGAAAATAAACTCCTTACAAAACACCCAATAAGGTTTTTCAGCAAAAATTAATTCCAGCTAAAATAAAGTATTTTACAGTACTTGATGCTCGATACTTCTTCGATTGGCCCTAAATAGATGTCTGTGTTGGCTATTACAATTCTCAGCCATTTAGGGTCTGTCACAAACCAGTTACAATAGTTTAGATGAGGATAATTTTTACATTGTATGGTGTTTTCAACTGGCAGTTCATTGCGTCCAGAGACTATCAATGATGGTCGATGTACTGCAGTTCAGAGCTGTAACACTGCCACATCTAAGGCCAACTTAAGCCCAACCCTATTCAACATTTTCATAAACGATTTACCTGATGTTCTTAATAAACCTGGATGTGACCCACCCAAACTACAAAATACACCTATTAACTGTATAATGTATGCTGACGATCTTGTAATACTTTCTGAATCAAAAACAGGATTACAAACTTGCCTTGATAATTTATCGATATACACTAAAAAATGGCATCTAACTGTTAACACGGAAAAGACAAAAACTATGATCTTTTAATAGATCAAACAGACTTCTAGAGAATGATATTTTCTTCTTTGAAGGTTGTGAGTTAATTACTGTAAAATCAACCAATTACCTCGGATTAATAGTAAGCGCTAATGGAAAATTCAAGGAAGGCCTAAAAAGCATAAAAAGAAAAGCTTTAAAGGCCTTATTTTCCTTAAAGGGAAAAACAGGCAAAAATCTAAGTATACCACTGTCACTTTCTCTGTTTGGGGAGATGAAATTTCACTAAAATCACCAATTGAAGATGTACATATAAATTATCTTCGTTTTCTTTTGGGTACATCCAAAAACACTACAACAATAGGTTTATACGGCGAACTTGAACGTTACCCATTGGAGACTTTTATCGAAAAACAAATGATAAAATATTTTAATCGTATAAAGAACTCGTCAAATCCATTACTAAAACTAGCTTTCCAAAAAAATAAAGAAATTAATAGTAAATGGTACACCAATATAGATTCCCTTTTAAATAACATCAACCAGTCTTACCTGATCGACAGCGATGAAACTCTAACAGCAAGGCAATTCATATCAACTTGGAAAAGTGAATTACATAATGACAATCGATCAAAACAAAATGAAAAAAATAAATTAAGAACATACAGAGAATTAAAAAACAATTTTGCCTTCGAAACATACCTTGTTACCCTGAAAAACATTGAGATGCGCGAAAATTTAACTAAATTCCGCCTCAGTGACCATAACTTGAAAATTGAGACTGGCAGACACAAAGGAATACCCCTTGCTAATAGATTATGCAACCTTTGTGATCAAAATGAAGTAGAAGATGAGTATCACCTCATGATGTCATGTAAAAGATATACCCCCGAAAGAAATGTCCGATTCGAAATGGCAAAAACCAAAATCCAAAACTTTAAAAATTTGTCACCAAAGACACAATTCATAGCCTTGCTAAACAACAGTGGCCTAACACTCCCCGTAGCAAGGTACCTAAAGAAGTGTTTTGAGATAAGACAGCAACCTGCTCAATTCCTTGCCCCAAGGAACTTTAAACATTTTCAGTAATTCAGATAATTAACCAGTCTGAAATGGTTCACCACATAGAAAAACATCACGACATTCCTTAGCTTGATTACAACTACCGTAAAATCTGTATTAGAAGCCGCATCCCTAATAGAAGTTGCACCCATTCTTTTTGAATAATTGCGAACCAAAAAATCACAATTTCTCATTTGTATAGATGCTGTAATAGACACCGCATCTCCTCTGTTGTATTGTACTACCATTTAAATAGAAACCGCAGCTTCTAATACAGATTTTACAGTATTATTGTTTTGTGTGTCCTTTCTGCAATCGTCTGAAAATGTTGGCTCGATTTTGCTTATTAACCATGTTAATTTTTTCCAACGTCACAAAAATTTGGACAGTCACACTCATTTCCATGGCAACTATCAATTTACACAGCATATGCAGAGAATATACCACTATTATCCATTGTTCTGAAAATTAACATATTCAAATTAGCAGCTTGTTATCAGTTATTCAGTGACACTAATCATAATGAAATCTAGGCAACTTTTTCAGACCGTTGAGGAGGGTTACGAAGCAATGGGAACGCAATCAGGCTCCATCTTTGGAGCAGATGACTTTATTTTGATCTTACAGAACACTCTGGGCATAACTTAACATTTAGGTGGCTTTTAGTGAGCACAAAAGCTAGCTTAGCCTAGCTTTAAAATCTACCATGTTTCTAATTTGTGCACTGTTATCTGCCTAAATGTGTCATATTACTAACTTACTGTAGAATACTTTATTTTTGCTTGGAATTTATTTTCGCTGAAGGTATGATCCCGTAAAAATAAAATCCAGCGAATATACTTTTTTTCCTATATTTCACATTAAACTCCTCAAAAATCAGTGAAAAATTAATTCCATGCAAAACGCCCAAAAATCCTTTTCAATGAAAATTAATTCCAGCGAAAATAAAGTATTCCACAGTATTATAAGTGGAACTTTCTTCAAGATGGCGTCATCCAGTTGACATTACCAAGAGCTGAAATTCAGACGGCCGTTAGCAAAATAAATAATACGTAAATTAGCAGTAATATCAGGCTACCAGTATTTTGTGAGCCTTTTACTAGAAACTGAGTTATTTTTCTTTGGATGGTCAGGTAGTTGTGCTCTGTAGCTATTATTCAGAATATCCATTTTTATTGTTTCAGTGCTGTATGTTGTAGGATCACAGATAGGGACATTGCATGATGGAGCCCGGGAGCAGTGATAGCAATCAGCCAGTATGGCCACCACATGCTCACATAGTAGATGCTTCATCGTTACAGTCTAACATGGAACCGGTATCAAGTTCTGAAGCCACCAGTTCAAATCTTCAGGTATTTCCATTGTACACTTCACTTACTGGTAATATATTTCTCACCCTGTTGTATTTTTCTCAAATTTATCATTGAAATTTGAGCCAAATAAACTGGTAGAAATTTGATGTTTGCAAATCAGGCATGTTTCCATTTTTTATTAGATGCAGAACATTTTTCACTGATTATTGTGATCACCATGGCAATTTATAAAATCAGTTGGTATGGCAACAAATTCTGAAATATTGAGATACTGAAGTTAGTCTCCATTGAAACTCGTGGGGTGTCACTGTGTCTCATCACCAAACTAAACAGAATTTTCATTGTCACTCACTGTCACTTTACTTCATTTCAGAAATACTTCTAAATTCAATTTTGGAATTTTGTTAGATAGCATTTTCAAATGAGCTTTACAAAATCCAAACTTTTATGATGTTTACACATGGGTTTGTGAGAATCGAAATGCAGCTTTAACCTTTTCACCACCAGTTCTCTCTTTTCATCACAAATTGACAAAATAGTCTACTTTATAGTCTGCTCTTTCCTTCAAAAGATTGAGACAAAAATAGCCAAATCTTTTTACTAATAACTGGAAAATGACTAAAATTTTGTCTGTTGGTCCCAAAATCAGAGTTCATTTCCAGAAATATTGAAGAATATAAGAAAAAAATGCAGAAAAATTTGATCTGGAAGTCTGGTTGGGAAAGGTTAATGAAATCTGTCTGCCTGTCATTTTAACAAGCATTCCACATTTTAGACAAGCTACAAAATTTCATTTGACAGGCAAAATCTTCACAAACCTGTTTTCATTGAATATTACTTGTAAATTACAAAATAACTTAAATAATCAACAAAAAATAGTTTATGACTACAGACCAATATCTTTCATTTCAATAAAGTTTTTAGACAGGCACTTTCTATTTTCTAATACCCTGATTACCATGGACTAATGATCATAACACTGAATATGAACTGATAATTTAAATAGTAATTAGAGGAGGCTGAATTGTTGAAATAAAAATTGAAAAAAAAAAGTGTTGAGAGGGAGATTAAATTTTTAATGTTGTAACAAAATTGTAGAATTAGAAATTATAAAGGACAAATAAGAATATTAATTGGTAGTAGATATAAAACTGGGGGAAATTAGCATATTTGGTGGAAGATAATCACTGAGCATAACCAGGATTATCTGCCCCAAATATACTATTTAAATCCACCACCAAATACCCACACGTACCATTTATAACCGCGTTATAATTTGCTCGCATAGAAGTACACAACAAAAAGGCACAAAAATCATATTGCTGTGTGTAAATTTTTAGTTCGAGGGGTTACTGATGAACCTCCTCAAGACACCAACTGCTGAAAGCCTCTACATACATACTATGTTCAGCAGAACAGCATTTTATCAAATTATACATCAGGAAACCATTATTGAACTTGGTCAACTTATCTACAGTTGTTTTCAAATGAGAGAACAAAGTTTGAATAAATAAATTTACCAGCTGTCTTATATCAGAACCATCAAAAAAATAAATAAATAAATAAATAACATTTTATTGTAATATTACCATCTATGCAATGTACTTATTTTACTTTTGTCTCAACTGAATTTTCGGTTTTTACTTTTTTATTATCATGATTTTATTCTTTATTGTAATTTTATCTATATCTCAACAGAGATTCGATAACAATAAAGTTATTACTTTGTATTATAACAGTACATACAAAAATCAATAGGGCATCAGCAGGCGATGTATTGTAAGTAAGTCTTCATCAAATCTTATGTTTGTACTCAGGCATCCGGATATCATGGTGGTATTGTTCAGGACAATGGTGGACCTGAGCCAAGTGGACAGGCATTTGATCATTCTGAGGCCATAGTGAGTAACATACATCACCAGCATCATCACCATGTGCATATGGATGAAGTACCATCCGGTAGTGGGTTACCGGAATCTACAGTTACTGAATATGATACAGCTATGTCTGGTGAAGCAGAGGGTGTTCATATCATGCATACAGCTAATGTGCATAATGAAGCCACAGGACAGGAGCCAGGTCTGTATATTCGTCTGTATAAGTCCAAAAAAAAAATTGTTTTGTTGCCCTCAGCGACCGACCGAATAATATGAAATATTGGGTCGCGTTTTTTTTTTAATAGGCCCAAATATTAAAAACTCACCATTTTAAGAAGTAAAAAAAGTGTTTCCTCTAAAAATTAATGATCCCGGACCGTTGTTTGAAGACTGAATGAAACAGTTTGATTTTTGTGTTTAATATGTAGCATGCGTTTGATCAATTCCCATATACCTCGGCTATTTAGGATACTCTTTGTTTTCACAAGTTTAAAAAAAAAAAAAATTCAATTTTCCGACTTGAGGGCAACAAGTTTTTTTTTTGGCCTAATCTGACACAAACTGTTGGAAATTCATCGCCATAAAAATTAAAATCACCACAATACCAGATTCCATGCAAAGCTACTTACAAGATTGTGTCTGATTGGCTACTCAACCCTAACACCTAACAGTCAACCCAATCAGAGAGCAGCTTGTTTGGTTATTTTTGTCTCAATCTTCTGAAGGAAAGTGCAGACTAAAAACAGGACTGTTTTGTGAATTTGTGATTAAAAAAAAGGAACTGGTTATGAAAAGGTTAAGAAAATTGTCTTGACACATTTTCATACACACAGATACTGGTATATTCTGGATACTTTATTCTCATAATGATTAATTCAATCTATTTATTATTATAATTAACAGTGAGCGCTAGCAGTATCACCAACACAATAATAGCAGTAGTGCCTGACGATAATGGTGATGTGGGCCCTTCCACTACCACAACTACCGCGGATGAGATCATCGCGTATCAAAGAAATGAGTCCAATATGCCTTCAGATGACAATCTTCCAGTACAAGGGGCTGGTGCTCAAGGTAAATAAAACCTTGTCAAAATATTTGCTAAATATAAATTAATAATATGCTTTAAAGCGGGGGAGTCGTCACTTGCGCATGCGTCAGATGGCCATAGCGTGCCATTGTTTACAAACAAGCATCTACCCATGAGCCTTTGCGTTTTAGCGTGTGTTGTTATCTTGGCTTGGGACTCAATTTCCGCGTATGCACAGGTGATGACCCTCCTGCTTTAAATTATAAACAACAATGAATCCTTCCACTGCACCTTATTGTCTAGAAATAGGAGTCTTTGACAAGATATTGTACATAGTGAGGCAAAGCTGAACACATCACATCTAGACCCTTCTCTGAATCAAATATGATGCTATGGGAGATTCATTGTTATAAATGACTACAATACTCTATTAAAACAAATATATGTACTACCAGTATTACAGAAAGTTTTAATTTCAACTTCTTTGACTTTTAGATGAACCGCTGGACATGGAGGATGATGAGGATGATGATGATTTAGAAGAGGATGATCTGATGGAAACAAGTGAGGAGGATGATGAAGATGAAGATGGTGTTGCTCCCAGTAAGATGAATGTATCAGGAATGAAAGTGTCATTTGATACAAGGGAATTATGTAAGTACTTAGATTTGCATAATCGCAATAGATGAGTTTTGGGTTTTCTGGTTGGACGCGAAGAGGGTCAAATCAACTCAACTCAACTCGACTTGAATCGATTCATTTCCAGGCAGTAGAAATGTTAATTACAGGACCCATAGCATTGGGAAAATCCTTTGAAACTCTTTGGATTTTTTGTGGTCTGGAGTTGTCTTCAAATTACAGGAAAAATAAAAAAAAATCTTTGAAAAGTCTTTAAATTTCTTCATAGTTATTAATTTATTTTAGAAAGGCCCATTTTCTCCAGGGAACTACCATATACTCAGAACTTTGATGAGATTTGGTGATGATGTTGGCCTAAATTAAGGGTCAAAATGTCTTGGGAAAAATGCAAGAAAGTTTGGAAAAGTCTTGGAAATCAATTGGCTCTTGGTGCTATGGACCCTGAATTATGAGGCAGATATTTTTCTATACTAGCTTCAGTTTTGTTTCAAACATGTTTTATAAAAACGTTTCATAAAATATAGAAAACTCATTTTACATTCATAGTTATACAATAAAGTTGGACAAAGGACAAGTTATATTATTTTTGTGTCCATACATACATTTGTAAGACTTCTCTGAGGAGATTATAAAAGCATGTGAAAAATAGAGACAAAAAGGCACCTAGACTACTGATTGTAAAATCGCCCCCCCCCCTTCTTTTGCGATCATGTTCAGTAACGTACCAACTGGGAAACATGCTCCGAACTCGTCAATTGCTTGTTATACATATCGTCTTGGAGTCTGCTATCAGAAGTGAAGTGAAGTGTACCTCCCTGGAAATTTTCAGTTAATTTGCGTAACAAATTAGTTATCGCCTCAGGGTAGATTGCTTCAGATGTTTACACATGTTTTCTAGATCATTTCTGAAAAAACTCTGAAAATAATTATGCATATTGTTTTCTATATGTTGTAGTTGGAGACGATGGCGCTCTTCAAACCATATGTGATAAGCCTGTGTTAACAAGAGCTAGAGCAAGTCTCCCTAACTTACTGCAGATATTCAAAGTGGATGATGACAAAGTTGGTATGTATGGATATTCACTGTCTACTTTGTATTATGATAATGATAGTTTTCATTATTTAACCCTGTAGAAGAAAATTCTGAAACAATTATTTTATGAAGTAGCGTAAACTTGTATTGAACTTTTATTTCTGTATTTGCTCTATTATTTGGGTACTATAAATTGTTTTGCTGCTAGGATTCAGGTTCAAGATTTGAGAATTTTATGGCTTATTTGAGAAAATATAAGAGAACAGTTAGTGCTGATACTCCATGTTGTGGGATCCCAGGAAAAATGTTCACTTGTACCGTAAAATCTGTATTAGAAGCCGCATCCCTAATATAAGTCGCACCCATTCTTTTTGAATAATTGAGAATCTAAAATTTACCATTTCTCATATGTGTAGATGCTCTAATAGAAGCCGCATCCCCTCTGTTGCTTTGTACCATTTTAATAGAAGCCGCGGTTTCTAATACAGATTTTACAGTACTAGTGAAATTTTTGGAAATTTGTCTCTCGCTCCATTGATTTGATTTACAGTACTTTAAAATACTTTATTTTAGCTGGAATTAATATTCACTAAGTAGACTTTTTGGATGTTTTGTATGGAATTTATTTTCACTGATCTTTGAAGAGTTGAATGAAAAGTATACGAAAAAGGGTATATCCACTGGATTTTATTTTCACTGAGTCATCCCTCCAGCAAAAATTAATTCCAAGTGAAAATAAAGTATTTTACAGTATGCACTTATGGGTAAATGAATGCGATACTATGTTATAAAACACTATGTTATTTGTGTATTAGGTGTGTTTGCAAAGAGAGCTATACCTAAGAAAACACAGTTTGGTCCAATAGAAGGTAAATTAGTGTCTGAAATGCCAGCAGAAGGAATGGTTTGGAAGGTGAGTCATATTTATGGGTCTTTCAAATTTATCAAAGTTTATCAAAATAAACATAGAGGGTGAAGGACTTGTCTGAACTGATCACATTCAACCTTCACACATGCATTTTAGAGCGAGAGGGTCGTCACCTGCGCATGCGTGGGAATTGAGTCCCAAGCGATGATAACAACATACACTAAAAACGCAAAGGCTCATGAATAGATGCTTGTTTGTAAACAAAGATACATTATGGCCATCTGGTGCATGTGCTGGTGACGACCCCCAGCTTTAAATACATACATGTATGCACACATATTTATTTCATGATCTGATTCAAAATGACCGATTGGTAGCCATTTTTGTGCTAAAAATTTTTTTAGCTGTTTTGTATGAAGTTTATCACTGTTAACTTTACTACCAGTAGCTTTAACCTTTTCACCACCAGACTTTTACAAAATTAAAGTTTACAGAATGTAAGCATACAAAATTCTGCGCCAGAAATCAGCATATCTTTTGCTAATACAAAGCTCACAGTAGCCTTTGAGTTTACCTGTCTGTTTGTCTGTGTCAGTATTTTAAACAGTCATATTGTTGTTATTTCATAGTTGCAACAAGAGGATGGTAGTATTGCATACTTTGATCTGATGGATGAGAATGAATGCAATTGGATGATGTTTGTACGTCCTGCGTCATGTCACAGTGAACAGAACCTTATAGCCTATCAGAATGGTGGAAATCTCTTCTTTGCCACCATTCGTACAGTGGATCCCAAACAAGAGCTGAGAATATGGTACGCCGCATCATATGCCGAGTTTGTCGGAGCCGATGTGTTTGAAATTACAGCCGAAGAATTACAGGGTGAGTGCAAAACAACATTATGACTTTAAACAAGCAGTGTTCTGCGTATACAAATTTCAGTTAAGCCCGTCATAAACCACCTTCTACCGGGCAACAACTGTCAGAATCATAGCAAAATCATACAAATATCGCAAAGTGCAGAGCGGTAACATAATGGTATGATGAAATGATTTACCATATACTGTAAAACATGTCTTTAGCTAGCATGTTATTTTAGCTAATTTAGCTAATCTGTAATTTCGCTAATTCAAAATGTTGCTAATTTAAAATAAAGTATATTTTCACAATGAAATTGTTGGCACTTTAGCTAAATTAAGATTCAGTTAATTCATACATGGAGTCAAATTAGCTAAAATGTCATGTAGCTATTTAAACATGTTATACAGTAAACCAATGTAAAATGCAAATTTTTAACATTTCCATTATATTTTAGGCTCATGTTTTTCAAAAAACATTAATATATCAACAATATGTGTAAGATGAAATATTCTCAGGAGTGGACATCCGGGCATTTTCATCGCCTGGCAACTATCACGGTGAAAACAAAGGCCGAAAACTCTCAGAAAACAGTACTTTGGGATAGTTGTTGAGATTCCTCCAAATAATGTAAAAAGATTACCCCTGCATGTGTAACATGTATGAATTTGATTGCTCAATATTACTTCAAAATTCAGTTTGTGCTGTTTTCTTAAATTTAGCTGTTTTTACCGGCGTTCCACAGCAGCGCGCACAAACCCCATAAAAATACATGGTACAGTGGTGTGCGTCTTAACAACGTAGAACGTTCTCTGACGTAGCTTCGCCCCCGAAAATTATCTTAATAATATGGTTAATCACTGATTCTTCTCTCTTTTATAGAAATGCAAGATAAAGAAAATACCTGGCCTTGTTTTGAATGCCCGAAAAAATTCAGATCATCCGAGTTACTCCAGAAGCATCTGGCTACCCATGATGCTTTGCACACAAGACCCAAGACGAGGGGGAAACGAGGCAAAAGAAAGCGTTTTGGTAATTTTTCACAGAAGAAACTTGCTTTGGCAAAAGTTCACAGGGCAAGGTCTAGAAAGAAGGAGACGTTTTCATGTAACATCTGCGCTAAGATGTTTCCACGGGCATATAGCTTGCAGAGGCATTTAGTAATGCACTCTGGGGAGAAAAACTACACTTGTCCAATCTGTGAGAAAAAATTCTCACATGTTTATAACCGCACTCGTCATGTACGCAGACATGAGGAACGTGGTGAGTCGGTTGATGACTCTGGTAATCTAGTGGTCAGGCGAAAAACTGGAGACGTTTCAAGCGACGAAGCCAATGATGCTGACTGGGCCTGCTCACAGTGTGACCTAGAATTTGAGAATGCTAGTCTGTTGAATCTGCATATGCTGACGCATGCTGCAGAAGACGTTAGTAATCAGGATGTCTTAACCAGTCAGCAAGCTGCTGCTGTAACTGCTGCTTATGGTGAAAGTATCACTGTTAACGCTGTGGTTATGTCAGGGGATAGAGTAATGTTGCAGACAGTTGATGGGACGGTTGCTGATGCTGAGGCTATTGCTGGTGCATCGGCTCTCATGGCTGGTACGCAAGCTGTAGAACAAGGCACTGTTACAATCCCTGAAGGTAGCGTTGTTCCGTTAGCAATGGCAAGCAGTGGAATTGGAGCACCAATGAATGAAGAAGAGCTAAAATGTCCAGATTGCGATGATATTTTTGATGACAAGAAAGATCTTGCAATTCATGCAACTGCTCATGGCAGACCAAAAGTAGTTAAAACACGCTTCCTGCGACGAACTTTCGCTAGATATGCATACCACTGCAACATGTGCAACAAGCCGTTTCGCGAGCGGGTCAAGTACGAACGTCATATGGAGTTGCATGCAAAGGAAAGTGAAAAACCTATCCAGTGTGAAATCTGTAACAAGAGATTCTTGAATAACTCTGCCATAGCCTGCCATATGAAGACCCACAGTGGCCAGAAGTTTTACCGATGTCCATTCTGTGATGAAGGCTTTGACCGTACAGATTCCCTGAAAGAGCATGTAATTGTTCATACAGTTGATGGCATCTTCCATTGCCCCCATTGTAGTAAGACGTTCACAGAATACCCACAAGTGCGGAAACATATTCGCGGTTTTCATTCCAGTAAGGAGTACCCCTGCCCTGAATGCGAGAAGGTATTCCCACGACCAGACAAGTTAAAGTTGCATATGCTACGTCATTCCGACCGCAAAGACTTCTTGTGCGCCAACTGTGGAAAACAGTTCAAGCGCAAAGACAAACTAAAAGAACACATGCTCAGAATGCACAACCCAGAACGAGAAGCCAAGCAAGCTATAAAAGCAAGCAGACCTAAGAAAGCACCATTCAAACCAAAGGTTCCGCCAACTGATCTTGATCAATTCACGTTTAAGTGTCGCATTTGTCTGATCGGTTTCCGTCGTCGTGGAATGCTAGTAAATCACCTTGCAAAGCGCCATCCTGAAATCAGACCTGAAGCTGTTCCAGAACTAAGCTTACCAATCGTTAAACCAAACCGAAATTATTTCTGTAATTACTGTGAGAAAGTATACAAGAGCAGTAGTAAGCGTAAAATACATATCCTTAAGAATCACCCAGGTGCTGATTTACCACCTAGTATTCGCAAAAGTAAAAACGCTGGCGATGATGGATATATGGATACACACACTGCACCAGCTGGCACCACAACAACTCACTACTTCGCATGTGCTCATTGTCCTCGACAGTACAGCTCTAAAGCTAAGATGATGGACCATGTTAGAAAGAAGCATATGGAGCCAATGCAGCAAGCTGCAGCCGCACAACAGGCTCAGGCACAAGCTCAGGCTCAAGCACAAGCACAAGCCCAGGCACAGGCACAGGCAGCTGCAGTAGTGGCAGCCCAGGTAGCAGGACATGTTGGAGCACAGACACCAACCATGGTCGCAGTTGTTGCTCAGCCAACACCAATACATGTGACAAGTCTGGGTCTGAGTCACCAATCTATTGCACAACCAATCACAGTGCAAGCACAAATGCCGGCTCAGATTGCAGTATCCGCTCCTGCTGCTGCTGTTGCTGCATCAGCTGCAGTATTACAACCACATCTGCAACCGCAACTGCATCAACAGCCCCAAGTATCTGGTACTCTCCAGCCTGTACCTGACCCCACTGTGACCTCAGATCACAATGCTCGAGTTATTCAGACTATACGATCTCAGATAACACCAGCCACTGCACGATACATTGAACAAGCTGTTGTGACATCGCAGCAAGAAACTGTCCAAGCTGCTGATCTCCTAACACAAGCCATGAGTGAATTGTCACAAACTTTGAGCGAGTACAGACCTCAGCAGGCCGACTATCAACACATTGCACAACGAATCATACCACAGACACAGCTGGTCACGCAGCAAGCAATACCAGTATCTATACACTCCACTGTAGATGTCAGTCATCTCCGACAGTCACCAACACACTTCCAACAACCACAACTTACACACTTACAGAATGCTCCCCAACCCATGAGTCCACAGCAGCAAGCACAAACACAACAACAACAACAACAGCAGCAGCAGCAGCAGCAGCAACAACAACAACAACAACAACAACAACAGCAGCAGCAGCAACAACAACAACAAACACAACAACAGGCTTCCGTGGTGACTCATCAAGTGCAAGTTCCAGTCACTGTTCAAGGTCAACAAGTGTTTGTGTCAGGTGCTTGGCATAACTACCAGAATTACAGATAAGTGTCAGGTGCTTGGCATAACTACCAGAATTACAGATAAGTGTCAGGGGCTTGGCAAAATTACTGATAAGTCACTGATAAGATACTGCATGTATACAACTGTAAATAAAGACTTTTCACTCCCTTTTTCTCACAAATGTTCAGTATATGCATGTTTATCACATCAGTCTTTGACTTTCATTATTGTTGATGGAAAGTTGTTTTCTTCATGTCTTTTGGATTGGAGCTAGGGAGCTTTGGTCTGTTTTGGAGAAAGTAAGTTTGGGTCATTAGGGGTATTTGAACTAAGCTAAGGGGCTTTTGTCTGTTCGTAGAAGATTTTGAATTAAAGTTAGTGAGCATTGATCTATTTCAAAAAGAAGAACTAGGTGATAAATTGTTGTTTATTTTTTTATCTGGTGAAAAATGCATGCTTTTTTTCAAAAAATACGCAAAAATGGTGTATTGTTAGAGCTGTGTTTTGGTAATGGCATTCATACTGTAAAATACTTGATTTTAGCTGGAATTAATTTTCGCTGAAAAAGCGTTTTGGGTGTTTTGTATGGAATTTATTTTCACTGA